TTGCAATGGAGTATCCAATATAGGCTCATAAGATTCCAAGCGAAGAAGATGCTCACTGCCATTCTTTGGTTATGCTATGGCTGACTTCATATGACTTAATAGCTTTCTTGTCATCTTCATCAGTTGCATCGAGCTTGCTCACCTTCTCCAGGTCAGATCGTAATCTGGTAGCACATTCGTGGTGAATAGGATCAATGAGCCTCAGGGTGTTCTCAAGCAAAAAAAATTTGTGAACCCCTCTTTTGGTAAAAACTTCGAACACCCCCCCAAAATTAGGTATAGTGTATGACATCAGGGCAGATTACTATCCTCCTGTAACTTTTTTTCTTTTTATTATTATTTTCCCATAAATGTATTATTATCTTTGCCAAAATGTCTACTTTCGAAGAATCACTCAATGAGTTTACAACTGTTTACGAAGAATCAATGACGCTCATTAACATGAATGTAGCCGCAATTCAGTGGTATATGGAACAACGTCAGTTGGAGATCAACTTGCTTCACGAAGCTTTTCTTTTATATTTTTCTTCAGTTTTTGATGTACCTTCTTTTTTTCATGCCTTACCCTTCCTATTAACTGGCACACGTTCAACTAGAGTTCCTCTAAACAACAATGGAACGTTTTCCAACTATTACTACTGGACAATTACGCACCCTTTTCTCGCTGACGATGACAGTCCACGCACTAGTTTTCGAGCAATGTATCGCATGAATCTTAGCAGCTTCGAAAAACTTGTCAACAACCCTCAGTCAGCATCCAGCATTTGATCTGTTAGCCCACAACAGCATCCCCGCATACATCCAGATTTCATGTGCTATATGGCCCTTAGCCAACTGTCATATTGGTTACAGAACTAGTAACATGGCTTTTGGTGTATCGCATGATAGTTATATCAACTTTTTCCGAAGATTTTTTGGTTGCAATCGAAGTGGTATACGGAGATCTTATCAACTGGCCCATGGATTAGCAAAGGGTTGAGGAAATTCAAACGGGTTTTGAATGGCCTCATGGTCAAGAAGAAGGGGCTATCCGTCGTTTGCCCAAAGCAATAGGAGCACTCGATGGTAAAAATGTTGTTTTTGAGTGTCCTAGAGATCACCCAGAACATTGGCATGATAGAAAGGGTAACTTTGCGATGAAACTGATAGCAATCTGTGACAACGAATGCCGTTTCACGTACATCCGTGTCGGTGACTCTGGTAATAGCGAAATATCCATAACATGTTGATTATCTTACTGATATGTATTTACAGGTCGCACCCACGATGCAGGTGCTTTCAAGTGGACCCAGTTTTTACGACAGCCAGCAACATTGTGACACAACTGTTCTTTACATTCCCAAGAGAGCTAACTCAAGTAAGATCTTTTAAAAAACACAATACTATCCGTACTAACTTAACTAATTCAATAGCTGGGAACACGGAGTATTAGACTGGAGAACACCTTGATCTTCCTAAGAGGACAAAGATCTGTGAAGTATAACATTTAATGAAAACACATCTTCCTAGTGTATGCATTGATCAATATGTCTATATATATAAATATATCTGAATAGCTGCCACGAATGAGAATTTGAAAATTTCACTGAGATCTATGTTGATAAGGATCTTCCCAGTAACAGCTTCACGGAAATTGTGAATTTTGGTGAGGGTGGCTACCGCGGACTTAGGTCTCTGTCCTACCAGGTCTTTGGAGACGAAGAGATGTACATGGATATACAAAAACTGATGAGGGATGTAGTACTCATCAATTAGTTATGAGCAGTAGAAAATTTGTTTTGATCAGCATTTCAAAATGGGCGATATCCAATTTTGAAGCCTACTGCTAAAACTAAACTAATCGCTTCTTTGTTACAAAACAGACGAAAATACTGTGGTATTAAAGGAATAAAGAAATGTTAAAAGGCATATCTGAAATAAGCATGAATACAATATGCAATAATTATATACCTTTCTTAAATGACAACTATCTTTTTCAGTTGTACGTTAAACCCCTTTGGGTATATCTGAACCGTTACACATAGGGTGTTGCTTGCAACTATGTTGAGAATCATTTGATTAATGAGCTACGGATATGCGTTCAAGAACAAACAGTGTTTAATTATTTATTGAAAATCAAATGAGGCGGAAGTAAACAAAGAATAGAGAAGACCGCATCGAACTTTTAGGATATTAAAATAAAAATTATAAACTTCAAAGTGAACCTGTTTCATAAAACATAGTTTGTCCATAATATCAAGTCTGGCTCGGTTGAAATCTTTGCAGTTTTAACGATCTTCCAGCAATTTTCTCATCGCTACTCAATCTGCTTTTGTAAAGCCAAAATTCATACAAAGACTACCCTGCTCTTTATCATTGCCTTGATTAAACTTCAACGGCGTCAGAGCTTCCAGAACAATATCCATGGCACAATTTTGCTCCAACACTCCGGGAAAACGTTCGAACCTCATTTCCAGAATACTCAAAGAAATATTTACCCTCAATCCATATGAATCTTCCAAACATAATTGAGTGATGAGACATTGGTAAACGTGAGAGACATCTTCGATGTGTTGTTCATAGGCAAATTCTGGTTTCTGTAAACCATCCGACGGATCCCATAAACCTTAAGATTTTCAAGAAGGTCCTGACTCTCCAACATAGCCCATTCAGCTCTCTTCTTAGCTTTTACCGACTCATAACTAACTGATTTGTTTCCTTATTTGCTTCTTAAGTTTTTTTTCTTCTGCTCTTAAAACGGCCTTCGTTAGCTGCTGCCAAATACAGTATGCAAGCCTTCCATCTTGTTCAGGACGCCCATGCTTGAAACCGACAATCACAATATGGTGTCTGACCTTCAAGTGCTTGATCAAAGATAATTTCGATTTAAACGTCCTATGGCATCTACAGCAGGTCAGCGTAACTTTAATTAATGTTCGACATCAGTTTCCTTTAGTGATTCGTCATTCGCTGACTGATTCAGTTTAATGAAGAGTGTCTGGATTAAAGAATTTCTTGGGGCACGTCTACTCTTTTAAGAACAATAACATACTCGCCTTCAGTAACCCTTTCTTGATTGTTCATTTATATAATCGTTGTTAATTGTAAAATGGTGCCTAAATCCTCCCCCCCCCCTCAAATCCTAAAACAACTATTTGGATTTGTTCCATAGGCCTAAAAAATAGGTATTCATTAATCCAAAAATACATTGTACATGAGCCCAAAAACTAAATTTTAAGTTATCCAAAAATACACTATACATGAGCCTCAGAAATACGTATTTAGTGATCCAACAGTGTCCTTAATAATCGGTATAAAGTGATGCACCAAGGATCCTAAGAAATGCGTATAAAGGGTTGCACTTCCACCGGCCAATTACTGCAGGGGTGGTATGTACAATTTTTGGCGTATTAGACGGAGTATGTAATACGTAGTGTAAAAGCCTAAGTATTGGGATGAAAAAAAAAGCCAAAAATTACTATATTGGGACATGAAAGTATCAAACTCTTTTTTCAAATAAAGCATACATCTTTAACTTAAATCAAGTAATCAAGTTTTGAAAATGCCTAAAGAACATAAAAAGAAAAAGAATAAGGGAAAAAAGAGAGACAGGGAAGCTCATTCGACTGATTTGAAAAATCAGATGGAACCAAGCAACCCTGGTCAAAAGATTTACTTACGATTGAAAATTCAGACAAACCCAAACAAGATCGGGGAGTCATCATCAAACATAAATACCGGGGAAAGTTTAGCAACAACAGATCCTGAAGTTAACAGCCAATCTAATAATGAAACAAATGTCACTTCAGATCAACAGCCCAAAAATTTCTTACGACTTAAATTATCAGGCCCAAAAGATGTGTTTGAGGTCATCGCTGAAAGGAATGCGAAGAAACGACGATACGCAACACGCATTTCAGAAGAACAGGAAGAGCAAACTTCGAATGACGAAGACGAAGGTAACGGAACTACACCCACAAGTAATCCTAACTTCACAAGAATTGTTCCAATCAGCCGACAGGATAAGAGAAGGGTGTATCAACAATCTGAAGAGTCTAGAGCGTACCAAAGGGAATATCAACGATCATACCGTCAAAACAGGACTAATAGTATTCCTGAAGAGGTATAAATTTGTCTTGTAACTATGACCCTTAAATACTTATGCATTTGATTTATGACTAGATTCCTTCTTGGGAAAGCACCAGAAGAACATTCGAAAAAAGTATAAGGGAGGGACCTACTGTTTTATGCATTTGCTGTGGTGGATTGTTTTTTATCAAAAACGTTTCCTTGGTTGGTAAAGAAGTTATGTTACGGAAATGGAAATGCGACGCAGATGTTGTTGAGGAGGCCTTTTGGACGATTGAATGTAATGTTTTTGAAAATTATAAAAATTTAACAGTTACGAAAACAGGTAGCGACAAACACTATTTTTGTGCAAATTGTAAGGTATCAATTAGGCAGAATAAGGTACCGAAAATTGCTCTAAAAAATGGTCTACATTTCCCGGAAAAGGTTACATGTATTTCAGAGTTGACACGGTTGGAAGAAAGGCTGGTGGCACCAAGACATACATTTCAACAATTATGGACTCATAAAGGTGTTAGTGGACAGTATAAGAGCAAAGGTGGCATTGTTAATGTACCAGTAAATGTCGATACAACAGTCAGTTGTTTACCCAGAAATTACAACGATACTGAGACCGTGCATGTACGCTTAGTAAGAAAATTATGCTTTGAAAAGGATTATATCAAAGGAAATATAAGTCCATCCAAAGCTTGGGTTGCGGCTGAATATCTCCTTCTACTACTCTTTATCAATAGTATGATGTGTCTTTGAGCGATAGAAATGTGTGGAATGAAAGAAACTTAAATCAAGAATCTGATAACAGCAATAATATGGGGATCGATGAAGAAATCAATGAAGCTGAAGAAGAAGATGAGTTAGACTATGATGAAACCTTTGATGATGAATGGGAAGAAGACTATGTGGACGAGCCCTTAAATATTGATGCTACATATACTCTAATTATAGACAATAATGACAACAACATTTCTATCAGACTTGCTCCTGGCGAAGGTAGAACCCCATTGTCTTTGTTGAAAGATAAAGATAGCGATTTCCTATCTTTTATTAAGATATTTTATGGAAAAAGACTAGAATGCATTGAAACAGTATCATACAATTCGATGACAAAATCAGAATTTTTATATTTGTTGGTAGATGGTAAATGATTTTCCGAAAACAGGACTGTGATTCCTTTTTTTTTTTTTTTTTTTTTGAGCACCTGTCTCGTTCACGCGCTTGATAAGAATTTTTTTTATTACAACCCTGAACTAATTATGTCATCTAACAATATGATACTCTTTAACAAACATTATGGAAGCCCTTACTCCTTCAACTTTGCCCGGTGTAATGCAGTTAAATACTGGCGTAACAATTAAAGTAGAATCAGCTAGCTGGAAGGAATGCCTGGCCGAAATCAACGAAGCTTGTGCCTATGGCTGGAGAATCACTAATTCCAACAAGCAACCCATGGATCTCTCTCTTGAAGAAGCTAAAGCTAGAAGCATTTCTCTCCGTTTCTCTCAACAGTATTGCTGTCATCGTGCTGGTACTTACAAGTCTGTTGCCAAGGATCGACCCGTTCAAAAAAAATCGAAAAAGGTTGACTGCAAGTGCACTCTCCGTGTTAGAAGGTTTTATGCTTATCCCGAGTTCTATGAGCTCATTATCGAAAAGGATCATACAAACCATGTTCCTGGAGATTTTATGGACGATATTCGCACTCTTTCTCTCCCAAGAGACCGTTTACATGAGATTTTGCAGCAGCTGAAGCATTCATCAAAGACTCCTCGTCAAATTAGAATTGATATGTTGAAGGCAGCTGACTCTTATGGTCGCAAGTCTCATCGTAAGGTTAATTACCATGATATCTGGAACACAATGAACAAGGTCAGACTATAAACTCAGTATTTATGGAATATTGATATTAACAATAACGCGTTTTAGGTTGATAAGGAGATGTATCATTTTCATAAGGATCATATGGTGTCTTTTAAAATTTGGATTGAGACAAAACTGCCATCTGAAGGCTACGAATGCTTTACTGGAAAATTGGCATACACTGAGGACCCATCCTTGTTCGCCTGTGGGTTTGTCTCCCCCGATCAGAAGATTCGAATGAAGAATTCCAGTGCGTTTTGTTTGGATGCCACTCATAGTATTTCCAGCAATATGGCCGATATTTTGTATACTTTGATCATTCGTGATAATAGAATTGGCAGAGGATGGCCAGTTGCCTATATGATTACCAATGATCATGGCACTGGACCAATTGTTGAATGGCTTCAGCATTTGAGGGATGCCCGTCTTTTGGTTGATCCTGAACAATTCACCATTGACTGTTGCCAGGCCGAGGTAAATGCAATTACCAACACTTTTGATCCAGCAAAGACAAAGATTCAGTACTGCATTTTCCATGTGACTCAGGCTTGGAACAAACATCTTGCTTCTGTTTCTGTTCCTGGATTTTCACCTTCTCAGAATAGAGTGCTCAGAGGTGAAATGATGAGCTATTTACAAAGCATCGTATACGAAGAAGATCTTGATCAGTTCCATCAAAAGGTTATTGGTTTCCAAGAAGAGTATGCCGACCAAACCAAGTTTATGGACTACTTCGTCAAAAACTGGTGTACTGAAGACAAGTTCAAAGTTTGGAGTAGATCGTACAAAGACATCCAGTTTTCTCATATGTTGACCAACAACTTCATCGAATCTTGGCACAATCAATTGAAGACCGTGTTTTTGGGCCGAGTTAGAAACAAGAGACTCGACAAGCTCGTTTTTGTTTTGGTCAATGATGTCGAGTATTACCTCCTTCAAGAATTTGAAAGGGTTATTCAGGGTAACGGTGCGATGTCACCCTTCTTTAAGCAGCAAAGAATCAGAGAGCTTGAGGCTGAGGAAGTTGATGATGAGGATAGAGAGAGAATGGTTGGTGGTCCCTCGGATGTAGATGGTGAAGGAATCAGAAGGTATCAGGTTAGCTCCTTTGTCGATGGTGCTTCAATCGATTGTTCAATTGAAGTAACCATTGACAATGTCATTATGTCTTGTTCCTGTTACGATTTCGGCAAACGAAGACAGCCATGTAAGCATATGTATTTGTTGAAAAACCATACTAACTTTTCATTGCATTTTCCTTCGTCTGTCAACAACTACGTTGTTGATAATGTTCCTGTTTTGGAGACGGCTCCTATGGCCACAATCATTCAACAGGATCATAACGAAGAATTAAAGGATCATTTCTTAGATAACGTGGCCACATTAAACCATTCTCGATCTGATTTAACACGTCTTTTCAAGTATATGACAAAAGAAGAGGCAACGGTTGTAGATGAAATTTTGCAACGTACTATGCAAATCACTCAAAGAATGAAAGATAAGTATGAAACACATTTCCGTAGATCAAACACGCAACTTTAAAATAAATTTTACAATTTTTCTTTACAACTTTTAACTTTGTAATTTGCCTTGAGAGTTTTAACTTAATGATTTTTCTGATTTTTTTGTCAATTTATTTCGTGGTAGATAAGCCTCTTTTTCGGAAAATCATTTACCATCTACCAACAAATATAAAAATTCCAAAATCAATGGCACGGAGATTTGACAGAAGGGCTGTTGAACGCTTGGATTATCTCCTTTATATGGATAGAAAATCTCAGTTATTAAAAATGTGCTCTAACGTTATTACTATCCTTAGAAAAAGAAAAAATACGTCGAGTGAAAATCAACCTTTTACTGCCAAAGATGTTTCAAATGATAATTATGTAACTGGGCTATTGAGCAAGGATCAAGCTTTTAAAACCTTTGCTGGTGTTAGATTGTCCTCGGAGTACTGGAAAAATCAGAAAAAAAATTCCATGGCGATGATAAGGCAATATGGTATCCCATCTTTGTTTATCACTGTTTCTGCTGCAGAGACAAAATGGACCGAATTACTCTGTATTTTAAAAAAGATTGTGGATGACGATATTATGAGCGAGGAAGAAGCTGAAACGTTAAGTTATGATGAAAAAGCTAGACTCATTCAAAGCGATCCGATAACAACAGCTCGTTATTTTGATCACAGGTTTAGAGAATTGAAAAAGACCTGGGTAGCAGAAGACGGTCCATTTTGTGAATACAAAATCAGTGAATACTACTTTAGAATTGAGTTTCAGCATAGAAGTAAGAATACATACAAAAAAAAATATTCATCAAGTTAATTAAACTAATTATTTATGATTACGAAGGATCCCCACATGTTCACATGTTGATTTGGCTGAAGGATGCACCCATTTACGAGGACAAAGAATGCGATACCGTAGACGAAGCCCGAGCAGCTAAAAAGTTAATTTGTGATTTTGTCGACAAAATCATTACTTGTAGTAAGAAATAGGATGGTAGCCCACATACCAATGATGCGAGCAGATCAAACGTGGACACGTGTAAAAGTTTGCTGAAGACGCGACAGACTCATAAGCATACCAGTACCTGTAGAAGAAAGAGAGGAGGAAATGATATTGTTTGTCGTTTCAACATACCATTTATGCCAATGCCTTATACAAAAATCATGCTACCTTTGGATCATAGTGATTATACACCAGAAGAAATTTCAGAGTACAAAAAGATGCATAAGGGAATTAAGGACTATCTTGATGAAAATTCGACGATGCTGTCAGATTCTGAGATTTCATTCGAAACTTTTATGGAACTTGTTAATGTTCCTTGTCCCGCTGAATATTTTTTTTCATTGAGATCAGGACTTAAGATTAACAAGATTTACATCAAACGCGAGCCAAACGAGGTTATGATTAATAATTATAGTAGAAAGATATTAAGTTTATTTAAAGCAAATATGGATATACAATTCATTCTTGATCCGTATGCTTGCTGCGCTTATGTTCTTGACTATATCAATAAGACCGACAAAGGAATGAGCAAAGCTATGGAGGGTGTCTATGCAAAACATAAATATGACCCCAAATCTAAGGCCTTTGATTTGCTTCAATCTTTGGTGACGACGTATTACAATGCTAGCGAAATATCTGCTCAGGAGGCGGCTTACAATATCATTGGAATTCAAATGGTTGAATCAAGCACTGTCACCATATTTGTTCCAACATCCAGACCTGAAAATAGAACTCATATTTTGAAAAGTCAAGTAGACCTCCTTAAATTGAGTC